TGATCTAGCAGTATATAAAGAGCCGTCTGCATACACGTCTAACAACTCCAACTTTCCCAGCAGCAGACGAAATGAATCTCCGATTTTCTCTCTGTTAGAGAAGTATCGTCGTAATCCCGAGAGTTGAAGTTGCTTGTGCGTGCAGCTGAATTAGTGATCGAAAGCAGGGTTTAGCGCTCCTTCTGTTCAGCTGTGCAGATACTTATTCGAATCGGCTGCAGATCTTTTTGTCCCTTACAGGCTCTGACGAAGGCGATCTGCCGAAACGTTAGCCGTGAAGTGAATAGATCAGCTACCAATCTCGTGTATGGCTCAGAAAGAAAAAACAAAGGATTGTCATCATGCCGAGATTTATTGAAAATTGCACCGTTCAACCAGTATGAGCAATGTTTACGGACAACTTATCTTAGAAACCCTTGTTCTTTTCTCAACCAGGAAACTGCTTTCCTTTCTTATCTGTGGTGATATCTTTTGTAATATGCAGTCTAGTCTGTAATATACATAATGCTTCTCAAGTCAAATAAGGCAGGTAATCTTATTTCGAAAGAAACGAGCAGATTAGTTTAGTGGTTAGTGCTCTACGTAAAATCTGCTGAAGGTCACGGGTTCGAATCTACCCTGAACCTAATTTTTGCGACAAAGTCTCTGCTCACAATTCCAGCGTCAAGCTGCCCTTCTAAAAAAGGGCATGCGGCAAGCCGGCTGAGAAACACCCCGTCGCATCAAATAGTGCAAACATGTCTCATATAGTTACTCGAGTAAAGGCTAGGGCGTCCCCCGGAGGTGACGCACATTCGAGCCCGACGAATGCGAAGTGGGCGAAAGTTACCGTCTCAGCAAGGTGAACGGGGATGGCTAAAGCGGCTAGTTCACCAGAGACAACGATCCAAGGCATCGCACACTCTTCGTCCAGCTGCCATCCATGTGGGTACACTCACTTCTCGTTCTCGAGAAGTGACAGATCTTCTGAAAAGACGGCGAGTTGATATAGCCTGCATACAGGAGACGAAGTGGAGCGGGGCAAAATTGCGAGACATCGGAGATGGATATAAGCTTCTCTACAAGGTTCCAGCAACAACAGAAATGGAGTTAGTATAGCTGTCTCGGAAAGTCTGAGGAGTAACATAGCTGACGTTGAACGCATAAGCGGCCTAATGAGCGTAAAAGTAGATAGTGGGAAACAAGTCCTTCTACAAGTCATCACCACCTATGCACCACAGGTCGGGTGTAAGGATGGTGAAAAAGACGCGTTCTGGCAGGAGCTTAATGACCACATCCACATCAACTCAATCCCACTGGATGAGACACTCCTAGAAACGGACCTTAACGGACATGTCGGAGAAAGGCAAGAAGGAGCAGGCAAGTGTCATGGAAACCGCGGATATGGAACATGCAATGAAGAAGGTGAGCGCATTCTGAAACTCGCCTCAGCTCATGATTCTGGTATTGGCAAGCACATACTACATCAAGAAGAATGAGCACTTCATTACATATGCAAGTGGTGACCGACGAACCCAAATAGTCTGGGCTACCCGACAATGCCACATGAAACATGTAAAGGGCGCAAAGTCATTCCCGGTGAAAGCTGCATACCTCAGCATAGACCAGTGCTTCTCGACCTCAGAATCTCGATCGACAGGCACATCAAAAGGTCTACGGAGACGAGGACACGCATCGAATGGTAGAAGTTACAAACCGACGAGGCGGCAAAACAAGCGCTACTAACAACTCTCCCAAGCCTGCAAGAAAGCCCAGAGCAAGTCTGGGTAAGCTTGAAAGGATTTACCCAGGGTCCACCAAGTGGGGGTGTATCCCATTACTTGTGACTGTCAATTATGCAGATGCCGCGCGCGACAGGCTGGCAGTAAACAGGTCCCCAGAAAACTTTATAGCTACTTGCAAGGCATACTATCCTATCTTTTGCAAAGGTTTCCAACACTTTGATATTAATTTTTAGTGTTTGATGGAAGTTTTTGTGTGAATAAAGAAGGATAGCGAAGGGAAATACAGAAATTACTATGTCCCTGACCACGAAATGTGTGCTTTCTATTCACTATATTAAGGTAGTCTCGTAACACCTCCTATGGAGCATTTCCTGTGGCCCTACTGCCTCTCGCTCGGGTTACTGTAACGCCGCGTCGCGGCAAATTTCAATTGACACCCACAAGTAATGGGCGCCTCCCACCAAGTGGCACACATGGCCCTGGGTAGTACAAAGCCAAGAAGAAAAGAATTAATTGAGAAACGTGGTGGTGGAACGATGAAGTACAAATGGTGATGAAGGACAAGAGGGATGCGTACAGGCGATGGCATCAGTCAAAATCGGAGGCCGGTCGTAGACATACCAACAAGCCAAGCGCAAAAGTCTCCGTAAAGAAGGCAAAACAGATGTACATAAAACAGCTCTACGAGAGGCTGGAGTCTCGAAAGGAAGAACGAGATATACAGGGTGTCCCAAAAAAATGTATCGAACGTTTGATCGTTAATATCTCTCTTCCCAAGAAGTCTTTTGCTTTGCTTTAGGCACCGTTTTGTAGCGCTGGCTTCAACTTAGATTTGCATTATAGAAAGAATCACTTATCTCTCTTCATTACTGTAGGATTACTGTAGAAACTTGAAACATATGGTGTCAATGTGGAAAAAGCTGCCGTTTCAATATTTTTCAAAAAATCGTGAAAACTTGTGTAATAGGGTTTTTATGGACGCTGAGTTCATTACTCAACTATTCACAAGATTACGAAGCTTTCTAAACGGTGTAACCGCACTTTCTAGGAACATTGAAAAAATGGCCGCCACCTCTTTCCTAGCATAATTCTTCAAATAAGCATCATAATAAATTGGAACTTTAAAGTTATAATCAGCAACTCTAATTAGCCTAGTGTAAAAGTTTTCAGGCTGTTTTATTTCCTTTCTTATGCAAAATATGGCCTTTCATGGCTCAAAACCCTCTTAAAGTTACCACCGTAATCCTACAGTGATTAAGAGAGTTGGGTGATTCGCTTCATACTGTAAATCTAAGTTGAAGCCAGCTTTACAGATTTGTACCTGAAGCAAGGGAAAAGACTTCTTTAGAAGAAAGATATTAATGATCAAACGTTCGATACATTTTTTTGGGACACCCTGTATACCTAATAGTCAAAAGGAAGACAGAGTCCACTAAGGATATGGAGCACTTCTTCCATATCAAGACAAACTTGGTAAGACACTTAGAACGGCGACAGACATCACTGAATGATGGAGAATCTACTTCGAAGAGATGGCCGCCACAGGCCGCAGCGTTAACCCCATCCCAAGAGCTGACCCCGTAAATGGACCAGTACCACCAGTTACGGAAGAAGAGGTGTGGCCAGCAAGAACGAAAACTAAGAATGGCAAAGCGCTGGCCCAGATAACATACCAAGCGTGTTTTGGAAAGTGTGTGGAAGGTCTGGTTCTGGAGCTTCCTGGCTATCAGCTCTCCTCAATCAGGTCGTAAGGAACAAGAGTCTGCCTCGTGGCTGCTAAACCAGCACAAGGATTTCGATATGGAAGAGCAAAGGGGACGTCGCAGACTGCGCAACCTACCGGCCAATCCGGCTGATGAGCGCACTCTAAAGATCTGAATAATCGAAACGCGTCTTCGAGATATCATAGAGTTGTCATCGAATCAGTGCGGATCCGTGAAAAGAGTAGGTGCAACTGGCGCCATCCACTCCGCTAGGCTAGTGAATGGAGAAATATAGAGAGAAGCAGAAGGAGTTGCATGCAGCCTTCCTGGACCTGGAAAAAGCCTTCGAAAAGGTGCCCCACGAAGTCATACGGTGGGCCCTACTGAAGCACATGGTTCCAGAAGAGCACGTCCAGTGGATAAAGTCAATCTACCAATACAAGTCACGTACAAACAGCTGCAGGGCAATCGAAAGAGTTCCAAAGCAAACTTGGGGTACACCAAGGGTTAGTTCTCTCTTGCTTGCTCTTCATCGCTGTGATGAACGCTGTAGTGCAACCGCTCAGACTTGCACCGTGAACCTCCTTGAACACTTCTCTACGCAGATGATGTGATCCTGCTAGCAATCACCAGAAAGGAATTGCAAGACGAGGTACAGAAGTGGATATACAGGTTAGAGTTGTATGGGCTGAAGCTCAACACCAAGAAGACTGAGTATATGGAAGTGGAAAAACAAACTCCAGGAATCATATGTATCGACGGTGAAGAGCTAAAGAAGGCAACCTCATTCACGTACCTAGGCAGTCACATCTCAGCAGAGGGAGGCTTGCAAGAGGAAGTCGCAGGCAGGATAAACACAGCATGGATGAAATGAAAAGCCTTAAAGGCACCGTCCACCCACATTTTCGACTTCCAAGTTTTTGTCGCTTCAGGGCCTTCTCATGTTCCTGTTTCCGAATATGAGGTCGAGAATGCGCGAGAACCCGGACAATCACGCAGTCACATCTCAGCAGAGGGAGGCTTGCAGAGGAATTCGCGGCAGGATGAATACAGCATGGATGAAATGGAAAGCCTTAACGGAAGTTCTGTGCGACAGACAAATGCCAGTACAGCTCAAGTCCCAACTATACCGAACTGTCATCCGTCCAGCAGCCCTTTATGGTAGTGAGTGCTGGCCATGTACGCGAAGTGAGGAGCGCAAGCTTAGTGTCATGGAAAAAGGATGCTACAATGGACCTTAGGCGTCACACTGAAAGACCACATCTGCAATGACACTACACGAGCCCGAATGAAAATAGCTCCAGTCGCCCAGAAAATGCAGGGAAAGAGGTTACGATGGTATGGCCATGTGCGCAGAAGAGAGGATAGCCACATTACGAGGTTAGCCTTGACGGTGGAAGCACCAGGCAAAAGATCCAAAGGTAGACTCAAGACGAGATGGATGGACAGAACCAAGGCCGACCTGCGAGAACTTGGAATAGATGAAAACCTTGCCTCAGATAGAAAAGCATGAGGACAACTGACAAGAAAAGCAGACCCTGCATAAGCGGACACATGCAAGAATGAAAAAATCTTATCTCGTAAGACTGCTTGAATGCTTTATTGAATATTGTGCTTGTAAAAACACAAAAAAAGTTTTCTTCACTTCTTCTTGCATCTGCAAACGCCGTCTGAACCACAGTATCCCGATTTCTTGTTCTGAAAGTGCCTTTGATTAGGAGCTGGCAACATGACACATTATTTCAAAGAACAAGTCAGCAATGTATTTTTAACTACTTATAATCAGGATTCGTACTGAAGGAAAACCCGCTGAGAAAAATTTTTGAGGTTGTCAGGTCTACTTGCACCAAGTGCGCTATGTTAGGTTGAACTAATGCCGTTCCTTTCGTTAACGCCCTAGAGTAGATGAAAAAATTAGGAAACACATTGTTAGATACGACAGAGCAGGCTAAACGAGATATCATCTGGACATTCGCAAGAAATTTGAAGCACGTGAATTCTGGAGTCTTCTAGTTTCAATGTCTAAAACCCGCATTCCCGTCCAGAATGCTCCTGCGAACACAAATTGCTCACTATACTATCCACATCAAGCTCAATACGCACGCTTATTTTTTCGAAGGATTGAAGGCTCCTCAGTTTTCTGGACTTTCACTTAAAAGAATTTTTGATTACAAACTTTTTTGGTATACCACAAGCTTTTAAAAATTCTAAAAATGGTACTGAGAAGCCTCATCCGTAGAACTCAGAAAATTTACGTATTTGTATTTTGGCTCATTCTTGTTTTCGGTCTACAGTAATGAGTAATCAGTATTTGCAGGTTGAGATTTCTGATGTGAATGTTATCCGAACAAAATTGGAGTTCCGCAGAATTTTTCGGGCAAAGATCCAATTCTCGGTCATTTGACAATGAGATTTTTGAGATATTGACACGTAACCCCTTTCAGCGCAGCTCGCCAGGGACGCACCTGGCTTGAACGTACAACGCCTTGATCCGGCATCCATCGAGCTCTAACTGGATACGGAGCTCTTCTTAGACAATCATGTGTTTTATTGAGAAAAGAACTGCTGAGCAAGATCTGGTCGAACGGATGGGTGATTAAGATTCAATGGGCATTGTTCAAAACCATTCAGTGGAACAATTTTTGCTGCATTGCCAGACAATTTCTGATAGTAACCATTATGACAAAATCGATGATTACTAGCAAACATCTCACATAGTTAGCGGAGAAACAAGGCAAGATGGTAATTATTTAGCTATCTATACTGAGATAATGTAGCTACAGAATGTTGAAGGAATAATTGTTACCTCAAGCGTCTACATATTTTTGGGAAGAGAATCTCAAAAAGAAAGAGGAAAAAACCCACTTTTTGAGCATCCATGTTCGACTAACCATAAATCTTGGCGTAGTTGTAATCTCCTCGTTAGTTGTTTGAGCGTAATCCAAAATTGATACAGATCAGTGAATTAAATAATGTTTCCGTTCGGGGGAAGGGAAGGTGCGACAAAAATTTTTTTCTAATAAAGTCAGCTACGCACTCCGAGAAAATTTTTTGGCAAGGTTTCTAAGAATTTTGTGGGCCCATGCCCCGAATTCTCAGAAAAAGGGGACGTGAAGGCAGCAAGTATAAACAAGTCGCTTGCACATTTTCGTAAACCACATAAGTAACTTTCACAATGTCAAAAGCTGTAGCTTTTGACATAAGTGGTCTGCACCCACCAGATTATCATCTGCTAAGGTGAGCATCGGCTTAATCTTGCGTTTTGGTTGAAGCTGTTGTTTTTCCATTCCCAGGTGGTTGAGCTCTTTTCTGTAGTCGACGAGGTGTTAGACGGATACCTTACTCATGTGTCTTCGACTTTTCAGACTCTGAGGAAGGCAAGTTTGCCAAAACGTTAGTATGTATTCTGTGCTATAGAGACCTGTACCAATCTTGGACTACGCTCAACAACCAACGCAAAGATTACAAACTTTTTCAATCGTTAGTTTCTTGGATGTGATCAGCTGTTCATCGATCCTCTTCTATGTGGACTCGGTTGTAGTTTTGCGATTCTTGTACCAAAAGACGTGTCCCGTAAGCTACTTAGAAGCCACTTTCGATATTGTTGTCTGATTATCTGCTTTTGCACACTACTTCTGTCAGTTCAATTTACCCTTTATACTGATTGTACGTTGAGGTGACCGTGGCACTCTTGACTGTTCAACATGCAATCTCAAAGCACATCAAGGTGAGCGGTCGTAACTTTAACTTACGAAGTCCTCTGACGGAGTCAGATCCTGATGGAGGCTTGCTAGGGACCCTAGTTTCAGAATTACATGTGGAACGAAATTATAGCGAATGTTCGATGCCATCCTATGCAGCTTTCCTTGCATTATCTTGCAGTATGTTTCTGTGTTTATTCATCTATTATGGCGTTAGCGCAAGGAATGTGCATTATATGAATTAACCTAACATTAAAAATCCTTAGACTGCAGAAGTCAGACTTACACCTGTATCTCCACGACAGTGGATATCGCACAAAATCCCTCCTATTGTTGGGATTGCACACGAAAGAGCATCACAGATAGCCATTACAGAAAGCAGTACAGTAAAGAATAGTAGGAGCTTTATCGATCTCATTTCCTGCAATTTGACCTCGCACTGCAAAGAACACATTCTAATAAAGTGAGCGTTTTGCATAGCATTATGATACTGTCATCGAACATTGAAAATTCACCAAAGGCATACACGCAATTCTGCAACGGTAATGGCGACCTAAATGAGATAGTTACTGACTCGGGACTTTTAGAAGGGTCATTTCCATTTCAGCGCAAAAATTCCTTCCGGTTTACAGGCAGAGTTTTACCGAAAATTGAGTGTAGGGATCTTGTTACAAACCTTTCCAACCATGTCTAACCTTAACCATTTCCGAATTTGCAGAAAATACTAAGCGCTTTCCGAAATCCGCGGAGACATCTGTGATGTACATTCATAATAGCCCAGCCGATCCGAACAAGTATCCGTACAGCTGAACAGATGAAGCGCTAAACCCTGCTTTCGATCACTAATTCAGTGCGCGCACAAGCAACTTTAACTCTCTGGATTACGACGATACTTCTTAGAGAGATGTCGGAAGTTCATTTCGTCCGCTGTTGGAGAAAGTTGGACTTGTTAGACGTGTATGCAGACCCCTCTTTATATACTGCTAGATCAGAATAACTGATCTAGATAAGTGAGAGTTCATGCGTAATTGCTAGGTTTTCCTCTTTTCGATTATTTTTCGGGTTCCTTGCATGAATCCAAAATGCTTCCAGACACTTACGTGCCTGAGTTTGGGATTGATGTGCTAAGACTCACCGAATTTCCAAAGTTTGAGCTTGCATGTTGCAGTACTCTGTGGGTGCCTAGGGGTGTCGTTGTACGTACTTTATTTCTGCCTTCTACATGTTCTTTGATGCGGATAAATAGTAATCGTGCTGTTTCACCTATGTACTCGTCGCTGCAAACCGTACATGAGATTAAATATATGACTTCACTCGCCATGCAATCCCCTTCTCTGCCTGTAGGGCAGATTTTACAACTCGGCGGAGGCAATTGCGATCATACATGCGATTGCGATAAAATGGTCTTTAAGTTATCTGGTGGTAGTTCTACAATCGTAACCAGATTTTCGAATCCTACGTGCTTCAAGCATTGTCGCAATGACGTGCTTACTTCCTTCGATATGTATGAGACGCAGCACGTAACTTTTTGAGGGTCACCTGTCTGTACGCGATCTTTATCACTCCTCTTAATTGCCCGCGGCAGTTCCTAAATAAGTCAAAGGGAAAGCATTCGTCTGGAGGAACATGTCAAAACACGAGAGGAGGAATTAGCGAGTCGGGAGGGCAACTATGAGTGCAATTTTCCGGGCAAATGGAGCCGAATCGACTCAGATTTGAGCTGTGGCCTATCTAGGGGCCCTATAACAGAAAATGTAGACCAACTATAATGCGAGTAAACCTCGTGTATATGGATTCAATGATAGCTGCCTTGAAAAGATGCAGAGAACATGTCGAATGAGCGAAAAGTCTGTTATACCACTTCAAAATTTCATCATATTCATTTCTTTTTTAGAAGGGTAAATTGCGTCGCTGAGCGTTTCAACGCTTTTGCCTTCGAGGCGAAAGATCAGAGTGAGAAATCGTAAAGATCCAACAAATAAGAAAAGAAGACTGCTCTATGCTTGCTGAGCGAACATTTTCAAGAAGACATCGCACGAAGTGCATCAAAAGTCGTCATCAATGTTGTGTCAAGCCTTTTTGAAGTAGCTTTTGTCGCCAAAAATCAAGGGCTAGAACATTTTCGGAGAAATTCGCGCTTCTATTCTAAATGATTTTGAGAAAAATAAAAATTTTTGCGCTTTGTACTGCTTCTTCAAAACATCACTACTAAAAGAGTGTTTAATCAGGCAAATCTTGCGCACCATAGAAGCTACGCCATTGCGAGGTCCTAAAGAGTGTCTTGGCAGATTCGCGCCCTAGGAGTACAGTTGTGGTAGGGTTCCTGATCGCTCCTCAACCTCGAGGCCCAGTCGGCTGGTTGTTCTCTCTGCACCAAGAGAATAGCACTCGAACCGGCGCGCGCCGGACGAGTCTGTTTACCTGTTCCACGCGGCCACACGATCGCTCTTGCATTGTGCATGCTATCCAAAGCCAAAATTGCATCCAGCAAGGTTTTCGTGTCGGAGTCTCCCGACTTTCATTAAAACTGCCGTCTGCGCTATTTTCTGGAAAACGGGTAAACGCTTCAGTAATGGTCTTTTCACTCTGTCTAAAGCAATTCGGGTTCAGTGTCGAAAAGGCCTGAAACACGTAGGAAGGTGGAAGTGCAAAATCTGCCGGGACACCCTTCAACCCCGGAAGCGGTTATTGTGAAAACACAAAAGAATATCTTTGCATTATAATCGATAGCATGTGCGTAATCCCAAATCATTTGATGAACATATGACGGTCTTTAATACGTCTTTGCCTTGCTAACACTTTCTTTTGTTCACGTGTTTGATTAGTAGAGGTGTAGATTGAAAGAAAATAGGCTGTCTTACATGAAATATCCTCAGTTTTATTCGCATCGTAGAAAAGGAGAGCGCAGCGATGCAGAAACAACTGTTTCAATGTCGAAAAAGCAGGAAATAGTTATTATGGATGTGACCACTTTGAGTTCTTCACTACTGTTATTTACTGAGCAGGAATAAACCTTAAATGTTTGCGGATCTTATGCCAGAGAAAACTGAGATTGCCATTCCGAGCATTTTACAAATTTATTGTCTTTTTTCTGCAATCAGAGCACGATCGCGATGCATGCATCTATTCTGTTAACGATTCATACATGACTGCGTAAGATTACGGATAGCGAATAATCCCAGACGAAGGTGGTTCCTCATGTATGCCGGGCGTGAGGGATAGTTTCAATGATGAAGATGCTCGAATCGGTGTGCTTTTTTCCGAAACGTTGAGACCGTTAACATACTCTAGTGTGATGGATTGTACAGTATGTAAGACCATGTTATCCCATGATACGTTAGACATTAGTCGGAATTCCATGTACAAAGCTGCGAGATGATATACATATGGACGTAATGAAAGAAAGTTTAGTTTAGAAAAGGAGACCACACAGTCGAACAGCTGTACAGCCATTAGAGAAGTTAAGGTCATACTTCATTGCTGAGTGCTTGCAATCACTCGTGCACTGCTTTTATGCAGCGAAAGTATACAAAAACATGCTGTATTATTCTGAGGCGAAATTCAAGCAGATGAACAAACGAACAATCTTCCAACAAGTGCAAAAACAATCATCGATGGAAATTTGGTAATGCGAACAGAAGCATTATCAAAAATTTAGCCGCAGCATATTCTATGACTGCTTTTCTTGAGATACTTCAAACAATATGGCCCGTAGTAAACCCCCATCAGGGCATCTCTCTTGAGGCGGACCGGAGCTGATCTCATCGCGCCTCAATACATTGCCAGGGGAGCGATTGATTTGGAGCAGATCACTTACTGGACGTTCGCGTTTTCAAAGGTTGAACGTTTCTGCCATTTGTGCATTATTAGTCAAATGGATAAGACTAATGCGCAAGCGGCGGGGTCGTGGTTCGAGTGCGGCTAGCGGCACCATTTTTGCTGGCCCGGCGACCATAGCGGCCGCTATCGAAAAATCGATGATAGCCGCTATCAGAGATTTCAGCTAGCAAACAACAAGATAAAACAAATACATATTTTGGCATACGCACGAGAAAAAGATACACTTAACAAAAATAAATAGAAACATAAATTCACATTCTTGTTATCTGAAGCGGTTCTTTGAGAAAAACAAGCAACAACTGCAAGAAAATGCAAAAAAAAACTTTTTTCCAATTTTGTCGCGCAATCAGCTGTTCATCGATCCTCACTCACTTAGGAGCCCGAAATTGTGCAATTTTGGGAGTTTTGCACCGCAAAAGAAAGTCATCTGCGATGTTTTGTAAGTTACTCGGGAGCAACTTACGGGGATTTTCTCTGTGCTCTCCTCTTTAGCACAGTATTTACCTTATGTCGTCGCCCGGCTCATCTCCGATGACTCCGGTAGGGAGATGTCTCCCTACCGGGCTTCGTCTGAAGCTCACCTGTAGGGTGACCTTGCATATTTACACCACGGAAAGTGGGCAGTCCTCATCTCACCCAACAAAGCCTCATATGAGGCCTCAGGGGAGATCATCTCCCATGACCGAGCTTTACTACGGGCCTATGCGTTTGCGGAATAGGATGTCGTGCTGAAGCGCGAAGAATCGTCTTTTGAACGGAAAGAAGTTGTCATTATGGTGATCAATGTAGTCCCAGCGTGTGTTCCAAAATGTTTAGAGGACACGCAAATACTGTCATGTTGGTCTTATAAGAAAGGGCCGCGAAGTCGAAGTGGTTTATCAGATGCATATCATCACAAAGAGCTTAAAGCGTCCATTTTAAATTTGCCTTCCACATCCGCAGAAGGTTTCTGGAAAGAAAGTTAAGTACTTTGTTTGGCAAAAATTTGCAAGGTGGGAGTAGCCAAAATTATCAAAACTTACGCATTTTGGACTCGCTACTTGGAACAGGTTATCCATGCTTAATGAGATGCTGATCGTTCTAAAATGCTATCCTGTTGCGCAAAAAGCAATTTGAACGATTTCCGTCAATGGTAGTTACTCGAAACCATGCAAAAAATCCTCATGAAAACGCCCATAACTTCCTTCCCAACCCTCCCTTGTTAGCAACACGCATGCTGAGACGCGCGCTGGGAATGCCGTTAGACTGAAGTCTATTCACAGATTAAGTGGAACAAAATTACGTCGGATTTTGACAATGCGTTAAATACAACAGTTATTTTAAGAAGTATTATTGACAGCGCGCTTTATGCAGTTAATACCTTCATTTTAACAAAACTATGCTAGTCATTACTCCTTTCAAGCGCCGAAAGGACCCCAATATATGTTTCCACCTTAAGCAAACCTCGAACTTTGGGCTCAAAAATTCCCATAACTCCCCTCCCAGAAGAGCTTTGCGGATACCAAAAGCAGGTTTGGAATCAGCGTTTTCTGCCCTTTGAGACTGTATATAATTCATATAGAAACTCTTCGACCAAACATCCATCCCTTGTATGGCAGTCACACTTCTGAAAAGCAATTTTTCTTCTGACAGATCAGAATTTCACGATTTAGACTTTGATCGCGAACCTTACTTCATACGAATGATCGGAGCCAGTGCGATACATATCGGTTTGGAAAACGAGCCTTGCCTTGTAGCGCCGCTTTCAAGCGCGCTTTTGTTCCTCTTCACTGGACTCTTCGCTAAAAAAAGACTATCGTTAACCGTGAGTCAGAATACGCATTTTTGTGCGTCTCCAGAACCTTTCGTTTCTGGCTTTATGATTATTATTTTTAGGATTTCTGGCTTTACTTTTGCTTCACACTTGCACTACTCAGGTAGAGATAAAGAGTCTGCACTTGTACAACTCTAATCCACATAACCCGTCATCTTTTCAGTTTCGCAATTTGTTGACAAAATCAGCAGTGTTCACATAAGCGTTGCAGCCGCAGCATTGGCAGCGGGCTTACCGCTACAGAAGAAACCCGCTTTTGAAAAACTTCAATCCCTTCGCATGTTTTATTTTGAATGACTGTTCTAACGCACACATGAACAACCTTGGCTAGTGCTATTATCGATTGTGAGAAAAACAAAGTTTACAATTCCATCTGTAAATCACCTTTACAAATTTTCCTTCAAATTCAGAGTGCTGGCAACAATTATATTTAACACTCATCCTTGCACAGCTTTCATGTCAGTTTTGCTAGATGCGGGCAGAAAATTTGTTCCAACGGCCATACACTTTTTAGCTGCCATAAACCACAGCTTATTTCGAAATCCGTTCGCATAGCTTTCAACATAGTTTTTCAGAATGTGACGCGTGCCAACAAAGAACAGAGTGCAGTTTGCAAATGTTCAGCGAAGTCTTATGACGGAAGCGGTGTTTCGGATCTATTTCAATCTTTCAAATTCGGAAACTAGCAACAATCTGAATTCAAAGACAGCGTCCAGGAAAATGTGGACACATGGATATCGCTGGTTGGTACTGATTTTGGGAGCCTGAATAAGACACAAGCGGCAGAGATGGTGCAATTGCGACTAAGATACTGATCCTCAAACTAAACTCCGATACCGTATCTGGTAGTCGAGTTTTTTTGGCTTGCAGGATCTTGCGCGTGGCTCTGCTAGAAGGTGGCAGTTTCCACGCAATAGCACTCACCTTGCATAGCCTTTCGTGCCAGTTTTGCTAAATGCGTGCAGGAAATTTGTTTCAACAGCCATACACTTTTTAGCTGCCATAAACCACAGCTTATTTCGAAATCCGTTCGCATAGCTTTCAACATAGTTTTTCAGAATGTGACGCGTGCCAACAAAGAACAGAGTGCAGTTTGCAAATGTTCAGCGAGGTCTTATGACGGCAGCGGTGTTTCGGATCTATTTCAATCTTTCAAATTCGGAAACTAGCAACAATCTGAATTCAAAGACCGCGTCCAGGAAAATGTGGACACATGGATATCGCTGGTTGGTACTGATTTTGGGAGCCTGAATAAGACACAAGCGGCAGAGATGGTGCAATAGCGACTAAGATACTGATCCTCAAACTAGACTCCGATACCGTATCTGGTGGTCGAGTTTTTTCGGCTTGCAGGATTTTGCGCGTGGCTCTGCTAAAAGGTGGCAGTTTCCACGCAATAGCACTCACCTTGCATAGCCTTTCGTGCCAGTTTTGCTAAATGCGTGCAGAAAATCTCTTCCAATAGTTATACACTTCTTTGACATAAACGGCAGATCATTTTGAAATCTGTTGGTATGGCATTCGATACTGTTTTTCAAAAGACTCTTTTGAAAAACAGTATCGAATGCCATGCCAACAGATTTCGAAATAATCTGCCGTTTATGTCAAAAAAGTCTGTCCACAGAGACCAGAGTGCACTTTTGCAAACACCATACATTGTTGAGCAAAGTCTTATGATGGAGGCGGTGTTTCTGATCTATATCTTTCAAATTTAGAAACTAGCAATAACTTGAGTTCAAAGACGGCCTCCATTCAAACCTGGACATATGGAGATTGTTGGTTGTTACTGTTCTTGGAAGCC